ATGAATACACCTGCATCTACAGAATAAGAATTCATGGTACCTTAAGCAAAGATAGTGGATAATTTTCTCTTAAATAATTATTTAATAATTATGGATCAAAAGTAGAAATTTTTGCATGGATTTCGCGATTAAAGGAACTGATAGTTGAGAATTATATTATAAGATTGACTTTGTCAACTTAGTGCAATTAATATTATAATACTGATTTAAATAAGATTTTTCGTATGTAAGATATTATATACTTTATTATATAGTGAATAAAGAATAAAGAATAAAGAAATTTAATTCTCATGTTGTTATTTTCTTTTTAATATCATTGTTATAAATTTATAATTAATGTAAATAAAACAGTTTAAACAATTTAAAGAATATAATTAAAAAAAAATAGTATATAAAATATACTATATTTATAAAAATAAAAATAAAATATAAAATAAAAATAATTATAATTCCAATATAACAAATATACATGCACTTTTTCTAATTATACAAATTATACTAATTATATAAATTATTCATATTTTTTTTATTTCTTCTTTTTTAATATTGTTATAAGCGATGACAGATAATTTTACAATTCAATTATCTATTACTGGCTGAGAAAAAGAAGATCTTATTTCCCATTATCGATAACTGCGATAAAAACAAAAACGAAGAATTGTTCTTCATTGAAGAATGAAAACAATTTCTTCAATCTAATGTATGGACAATTTAAATCTAATTTTCTTATATTTAAAAATAATAAACTAAATATTATAAATAAATATATTGCATTCTAGAATAGATCGTATGATTAAAATTAATTATAACAATAATGTCAGAAGCATGATAGAAAAAGACACGAACTTCTACAGTTGAAAATCTTGGCAGAATCCAATGTAATATTTAAGAGATATTTATGGAATTACAAGAATGCTTTTTATAATTTGTGAAAAATTGCTAGATAATTACTATTATCTACTAGATAATTAGTTATATTATTAGGAAAAGAACAGTAATCAAGATAGTAAAACGAAATTGTTGATTTTCTCGTAAACTCTCCAAAAAAAAAATTATAATTGTTTTGTTATTTATAATTTATTTATACAATATAAAAAGTTTTAAGAGTTATTAAATAAGATTTTTTAAATCTTAAAAGATAATATTTAAAAATAAAGTAAAAATTTATGTTTAAAATCAATAAAATTTATTAAATATATATATCTGTTTTTTCAAATAAATGCTTCAACTTTCAAATATTTTATTTTATAATTAACAAAAAATTAATATAAATAAAAATAAAAGACGAAAATTTCTATTTCTATTTTATTACACATAAAAAATTGTTTTGTGATATAAACAATGCAATATATTACAAATTAAATAAATCTAAATTTTATTAGAAAATAATTAACAAAATATATCTTTAAAAATTTAAATTTAAATTTTTTAAAATAATTTAAATAATTTTGATAATAATTGAAGATGAGTAATAAAAAAAATAAAAATTAAGATGAACAATACAAAATTATAAAATAATTTAAATTATAAAAATCATTATTTTCTTCACATTTGGACACGATAAATTATTATTGCTTTTAAACATTGAATTTTAATGCTGTCAATACAAATTTATTTGAAATTTTTTTTAATTTAATTTTGATATCATAAACATATCGTACAACATTTCAATATTAAATAGAATATTAAAATAATGATTATATAATTAAGATATTATTAAATAAATTATTACAGATATTATTTAATAAATAAATAATTAATTATTTAAATATATATATTATATATATTATATAAAATAATTATTTAATTATTTAGTTTAAATATTATGTATTATTTAAAGTATTTAAAGTAATTTTGTATTTTATTCGATATCTTATATTTACATAAATGTTTTCTGAAATAATATTTGAAATATTTTCAAATATATATTACAATATTTTCAATTTATTATATCAACATTATAAAGATATAGTTCAACATAAGTATATAATAATAAGAATATTTATTATTTTATTTAAATAAATTAACTTAAGTAAGAAATAGATAATTGGAGACCTCAATATAAAATGAAGTTATATTTTTTATGATATTTCTGGAATGAAAAAAATAAAATAGTTGATATAATTCATTATTTGAAAATATTATCTATTAAAATAAAATAATATAAGATAATAAAATATAAATAAAAGAAAATATTTTTAATATGATTATCAATAAAATCATTAGAAAATTTAGTAATTTAATAATTACAATTTTTATTATTATATAAGCATTAATAATGCAAAGAAAATCAAATATTATGTTTCTATAATTCATTTCAATTTGTATAATTATTTTCTATAAAATTAATTTTCTGACAAATAACAATTAATATAATAATTAAAAAATTGAATATCAAATTTACAAATATGCTAATGATACTAATTTTAAATATTTCAGAATAAATAAATTTCACATTTATTTATAATTTTTATTCTTATACCCAATAAAAAACAATTGATACTCACCAAAAGATAAAAAAGGAAAAATATAATATAAATAGAATAAATAAAAAATCATCGAGTCAATTTAACGTAATCGTCATTCAATTTATTACATTTGTACATATTTAGTCTTGTTCTATGCTTTTATCGTCATGTTCCTCCATTCTTTTACACATTCAGATACACACATTCATCCTTTCTCTCTCTCTCTCTCTCTCTCTCTCTCTCTCTCTCTCTCTCTCTCTCTCTCTCTCTCTCTTCCTCTCTCTCTCTCTCTCTCCCCTCCCTCCCTCCCTCCTTCCCTCCCTCTCTTTCTCCCTCTCTCTCTCTCTCTCTCTCTCCCCTTCTCATTTATTTTTTTTTCTTCCCTTTTTCTTCTTTCCTCTTTTTTATTTTTTTTCAAGATTCGATCAAATATTTTCACGTGGCTAGACTTTTTTCCGAAAAAATTCATGTATACGCACATGTACGTGACATCAGACAAAAGGACGCAAAGGCGGTCGTATGGACCATGCCTGGTACTGGTGTAATTAAAATAGCATGATATTTGAAGATGGCTAATCTTTTTTCGTTTTATTTTTTTTTATTCTTTTATTTTTTTATTCCATGAGTTTTATTTTTTTCTCATATTTTTTTCTTTTCTTTTTTCTTCCTTCATATATTGTTCTTACTGCGTTTCTTTCTTTTTTTCTATTTGTCCTTTTTTTTTAATTCTTCTCTTTTAATTTTCGCTTTATACACATCTCTTCATTTTCTTTTTATATATATTTTTGTTACTTTTCATTTTTTAATTTTCCTTTTTAAATAGACGATTACATACACTGCCTCCTTTAAGGGCGAAAAACAGACTCGAGAGGCACGCGGCAACAAGTACACTGAATAACACGTTTAATAACTCTGACGATTTTTTTTTTTTCATTTCTTGTACTTATTATTCACGTAACTATGTGTGTATATATATATACGTATATGTGCACGTATGTATGTACGCATATATGTATATACTATTTATTTTATTAATTTATTTTTTCTTCTCCCTTTTAATATTCTTTCTCCTGTTATCATCATTTTTTTTTCTTTCGATCGAATTTTTTTCTAGTCGCGGATAAAAGTGTTCCGCTATTGTGTTGCGCACATACATATGAAGATTCGCTTATATAATTGTATTTTATTCATTTTTTTCTTTTTCTTTTTTTTTTTTTTCATCTAAAACTTTTCTGCGTTTGTCTCACTAATACACGTGCAGCTGATCGGCGAATTTTCGCGCACGGTTACACGATTCCCGTGGCTAGAGTAATTATAATTCGGAGGTCAGTCGTCTAACGCTATCGAGCTATCGAGATTCGGTCATGGTGCCATAAAGACGCGCGTTAAATTATTATATATTTGTATATATATCATACAAATACGTTAGAATCTAGGAGTTCTGATTAAAAGATCCAAAGAAAATCCAATACATCACAATCATTATAATCGTTTTAACTTTTACAAACATTTACATTTTATAGAACATTTCTCTTTTTCTTTTTCTTTCTTTCTTCTTTTGTCCTTTTTTTTTTGCGATTTATAAATTCCATCGATATTTTTTTGTAATTCAACCAAAATTTTATATCTCACATATCAATTTTGATAATTGCAATCCAATGGAGATCCATCATTTTAAAATACAAGTAGAATAGACGCCATTATGTGCGTATGAGATTTACGTTAGACCTTTTAAACGAAGTTATTTTTGGCTATAAAAAGTCGATATCACTAAATAGTTTCGTTTACTACTGAGATCATACGATTAATCGATCGATCGAAGAATCAAACTGATCTATACATTGTATTATGTACCTTGCTAACGATTGTCTTGCTTGTCGAACATTTAACGATTAACAAGTGAATTAAACGATCGTTTCATATTTTTTAATTAACAGCTGTCTCGATTAACAGATTCAACGATTTACATAGATACTATTACTATTATAGTACTTAGTAATAGTATGTTTATGATTATCAAACGATCGAAGATGATACATAACAGGCAAGGCAGCTGTTAATTGTTCATCGTTGGAACAAAAATAAGATCAATTCTTAATCGATCAATCATTCGGTCCAGTCGAGTTACAATTATCTTTTCTTTTTTTTCTCATTTTTGGAAAGCAATATGGCGCTCGTTAACATAATAGCACTTATGAAACTTCAGACAACGAAGAGGAATCGTCAATTGCCTTTGATCGCTCGAAGCGCGGGCACCATAACCGCACGAAGGTTCGTCAACGTTCGTCAACGTTAGAAGGCATAGAATTGTGTTTATTTTGTTATATTTCTTCTTATTTCTTTTTTCTTATTCTTTTTCTATTTTTCTTTTCTTCTTCGCTTATAATTTGTTGAATTTATCTCCGACAATCGTTAAATATTACCGCACGCGGTAGTATCAAAATAAACCACACCGAATATATAGTATAGAATATTCATAAGTGTATGTATGTACAATAGAGTTTCTATATAATTTATATATTTATGTATTTATATATTATATATANTATATATTATGTATTTTATATTATTATTCTTTTTCTCCTCATTTTTCACTCATACAGTTTCATACTTGTTCGTGTTTTATGTTTTTTTCATTTTATTTTTATCAAAAAATCGCACACTACCTTTTCTTTTCTATTTTTGTTTCTCTATTTACTGTGCCTTCTTATTCTTTATTCTTGTTCTCGTCTCGCTATTTCTCTCTCTCTCTCTGACATTCGCTTTTGTTGCTTTCATTGTATTTTTCTTTTCCTCTTTCTTTCTCTCTTCTTTTTTTTATGTAGGAAATACACTACGATTAAAGTATATCACAGATGTTAATGAGAAAAATGTTTTAGAACACGAGAAAGAAATGAAGAGAAGGAAACGAAGAGAATATTTCGTTAGTCGCCGCAGGATTATCCGGAAGTACACGGCAGTTGGTATCTGCATAGCTTTCCACGTGAATCCGTTGAAGTAATACCAATTGACATAGAGATTACATAAATTGTACGAATTTCAATTTGTATTAAAGATTATCACAACATCGGAGTTAATCTTAAATTTCTAATTGTATTTTATCTCAAACTCCGAGCTAATCGTCGAGTGTTTTTTTTTCTTTTTTCTTTTTTTTTTTATATAGAGTTAGTTTGAAAGAGGTGATAAAAATACTATTATAATCGATTAAGCTATAAACTGGCTGTTCATTATTTTAGCCAATCATAACAATATTTGTTCGACCTTATCCTTCTCCTTTGACCACACACTACGTTGGTTCTGAGAATATTTTATTATGAAGCTCTTAATTAGTATTAATACACGATTTTCCTTTTCTTTTTTTTTGTAATTTTTCTTTATTTCCGCAGCTAAAATCTCTGTCTCGCGATTACGAAAAAACTATACTACTTTTTATTTTTGTTTCTTCTTTTATATTTCGAAACTGTTTTTTTTTTTATCTAGATTTTCTGGCACTTCGGTAATGACCATTTTTTTTATTATTATTTTTTTTTTTTCTTTATTATTTTTCGTATCTTTAGTTTGGCACGTTTCATTTCTCTCGTCGAGAGCTACCCATGATCTACCGTGGCTCTCGAAACTCTCCTGCGAACGACACACGTTTATTTTTATTTGACGAGTTGGAGAAAAAGGAAAGGCGAGAAAGTGTGGTCCGATTAATTGCAATTGTCGCGTAGACTCGACAAATTTGTTTTTTCTCTTTTTTTTTCTTTTTTCATTTTTTTTGTTTTTTTGTTCTCAAGTTCACTTATCGACTACGTAAATTTCTCTAATTATCGACGCAGAAACTACGTCATTCTTCATCCTACCAATTCCTACGAATCGATTTTCATGATGTATTTTTTTCACGGAACATAAGATTGGTTCCGTTGGCAATAGTAGATTGTCATAGGTTTTTCATTTCTTTTTTTTTTTTTTTTCTTTTTAAATGCTTTTCGCTTTTTGTTTTACGCACGTTAAATTTCACGCTTGATGCGCACGCGCAATCTCTCATTCATGTTTTCTCTTTTTTTTTTTTTTCATTCCGCGCGTTTAAGACGCACAACTGACCTAATCTTATTCGTCCGTGATCGAATATTCAATCGTACTTTTTTAATTATTATTATTACTCTCCGCTTTCATCTCACTCGCTCTCCCTTCTCTCTTCCTCTATTCCTCTAATTTCTAGCATTTCCAACTCGATCTAAACGATTCCTTTCCTATTTTGGCAAGTTCACGGTGGCAAAGTGACTAGAATATAACGACTATATTGTCATGCACTACAGTCTTTCTTAGAGTCCAATATTGAACCCTCGCAGCACTCTCCATGGTATTTCGCCGTGGATACCATGGTAGGCTAGCAATTGCATAGAAATCTATACCATTTTTCTCAGTAAAACCGATTACTTTTTTTCATTTTTTTTGTTTTTGTTTTTTTTTTTTTTTGTTTACTTTTTTCTAAACGCATCGAAGATAGGAGTTGTTACTTAAGAAGAATCCGATGGTCCACCAGAAGATGCTCTATCAAATCTCTCTGATTTTTCTTCCTCCATCGTCACACCTGGTATCGCAGTTACCGATGAAATAGTCGTCGAAGCTTCTGGTGTCCCTTCGCTCGGTTTTTTTCTCTGATGATTGTTACTACTCGCCGAATCGGTATCGTCCACGTATATACGAACGTCCGAGCCAATAGTGGCGCACACTCCTTCTATTACATGCACCACAGCGCTTCCGTTTTTGCTACTGTTTCCACTTGCGCTACCGTTCACAGTTCCACTTCCAGTCACATTTCCATTTCCACTCGTGCTGCTGCTCTCTATGATGCTATCGCTCATGTTGCCGCTCGACATAGGTGATACTTCTTCGGAACGTTCCTCGGTCACATAGACCTGGCCGTAACTTCCTATTCGAGTCGACGAGGAATATTCATCACCGACAATCCTCGTTGCTCCTGTCGAATTTCCGCTCTTCAGTTTGGACGGTCTCCTTTCGTTAATGATTGACTGCACGTCAAGATCGTCCGTCGGTGGAGCAGATACTCGTCTCTCATTTTTCTCCTTTGAGTCGTTCGATCTGCTGCCATTGCTTCTCGATACGCCGGTTTCCATATAGCCGTTCATCGCACTGCCCGTTTTTGAGGCGATGCTTCCGATGCTGACGTTTGTATCGGATTGTGACTGCGTGTCGCTCGATGGCCTACGACTCAATGTTGCCTTGGACGGGTAGATATTGGGCGTTGGCATTAGATAACGTTCGCTGCTTATTTTAGGACAGGTTAGAGTTGTTACAGAGCCGATTGGCGATACCGGAAAAGAAGAACTCGCTGGCGGTTTGTTCACGCTCAACAGAGTCTTGTTTTCTTGTCCATCGATGGTTGCCTATGGGATCAGATTAGCTTTTATAATATTGTACTGTTTATCCACGAGAAAATGCTAATAGAAAATTATGAATATTATTGCTCCATTATTATTGATATCTCTATCTACTTTGCATTATACATATTTTCGTAATTGGGCGAAAAAGTCACATCTATAATCGAATTATTTGACAAAGAAAATAAATAAACATATGGGATATAACTGAAACAAAACGATAGTAATGATGGTATCAAAATATTGGCGTAAACTTATTTTATAAATAAATTAATTATTTAAGTGAATTATTAATTATTATTAATTATTAAGCGAATTAATTAATTATGAAATGTATTTTCATAGTTTACAAAAATTTTATTACTATTAACGCATTAAGATTAGCAGCTCAGATGGAATAAAAATTCTTCAAGTCATTTCTTCTCGGCCATCTTCTTCTGAACAAATAGTATATGTTATAGCATATACTAATATATATCAAATATACTAGTATAGTATATATATAAAATATATATATCAAATAATTATGAAAGTTTTGTCATTTTTAAAAAAGAAAAATGCAAGAAATGTAAAAAATAAATTTATATTCATTTAACTTGTTATTATATTTGTCATTATATTTCTTTTGTTTATTATTATATTTAAAAGGGGGAAATTATGAATATTGAATTTATAAAAATCATGATTTTAGAAAATGAAAAACTCTCCTTTGATACTTTTTACTTTTATTTGTAGAAATGGTTGTCTAAGTTTAATAAAAGTTATATATATTTATATATAATAATTTAAAAGGAAAATTTTATAATAGATTTATAATAAATTATAATAAATAAATAAATAAATTTAGAATAAATTTTATAAAAGAAAAATTAAATAAAAAATTTTCATTTATAAATCTATATATTTTCTCTATTATAATTAAATAATATAAATGATTTTAGCAATAAGTATAATTTATATATCCAATTTTAAGTTTCAATAATCATTTCTATCTATTTTTAAAATAAAATTATATAAATTTCATAAATGATTTTATATTTTATTATATATTTTTCTATTTTAAAAAGGAAAATAAAATCTTTTTAGTTACTAGCAATTAAGTTACTTTCAATTAAAAAGTTTTCAGATGTTACATTTAATTTAAATAAAATTTTTAAAATAATCTTAATATATAATATTTCAGTGGTACTTTGTATATTTATATAATATATATATTTATACACAATAAATAAAGTACAATTCTAGAAATTAAAGTATATAATTAAAATATGTTAAAATAATATAAATAATATGCTAATTCAAATGTTAACATGAAAAATTTATTTTTCAAATATTATAAACAATTTAATTTCATATTAAATGAAGCAAGATATAAAATATAGATATAAAATAAAGATTTTTGTTTCATATATATCTAAATACAAATATATATTAATTATAAAATTTTGATTTATATAATTTTTATTAAACACACGATTAAAATAACATATTGATATTTTATTTTTTATTAATTATTATTAATATAACTTAAATATATACAATTTGTAAAAATTGTAAAAATAATTATATAAATATTATTACAAGCATTGAATTATCTATAAATAATTTTTACATGGAAAGCGAAGAAAAACACGTTCATTGTGCTCTGAGTTTCGAAAATAACTCAATTAAACTCTATTAATTATTAAATCTTAATAATCAACTATTTTATACTGCAATTTACGTTGGCCATTGTTTCATACAATGACTATTAACATTTATAATATATACCATAGATAGTAATTCCGTTTTGTTTCTATTGCAAAATTAAAATGCTTATAACTTAAAAAATAACAATTCAACAATTTTACATATTACAATTTTGTCCAAAAATTTCTTAAATGTTTTTCATTTGAATACTCTTTATGTATTTTTTGCACATTTAAATTTTTCAAAACATCCATATTGATTATTGATAATAAAAATTTTTTTCATTAAGCAATAATAAAATTAATAAATTTATTCAAAATTAAATATGTGTGGCAATTTATTTTTAACTTAATTAAAAATAATTTTACCTGTAATTTTTGACGCTGCACGTGAATGACATCTCGACTTGTACCGTAGCTGTGTTGAGGAATGATTCGAGGCACACTTAAATTGCTCACAGGCTTCTCGAAAACTTCGGCGACTTCAAAATGCATCGGCAGTAAAGATCTCCTCTGATGATGCCCCGAGTGAAACGTTTGTCTACGTTTCGATTTGAACTTGGACGGCCTTGAACAAGAACGATGATACGAACTGCGTCGCGATAATGACACTGATATTGTTCCATCTGTAAAATATATATGATAGTGTTTAAATATTTATTAAAAAGAGTCATTAATAATTATAAATATTTTGAATATAACTCGTAACTTATTCGTTATATGAAAAATTTGATGTAGAAAAGAATATAATTTGTTATTTAATTTTTTTGTAAAAAAGCATATAAAAGATATGAAGAATATGAAGATTATCTTTATTTTTTTAATTGAAAAATTATATATTTTTTAATATATAATTATATATTTTTTAATAATATTAAAATATAAAATTATAAATCAAATTAATTATTTTGTTAGTTGATGTTAATTTAAAAAAGATACATAAATTTGCAAATTCTTAAATAAAATGAATTATTATGTTTTAATTAGATATTATTTAATTAGATATCTATTTTATTTTTAAATATTGTTTAATATAAATTATAATCTAATCTAAATTAATATTTAATAATATTGGAAAATAATATTCAAATAATATTAAATTAATAATATTAAAATAATAATAATTTAATACGTAAAGCGTTTGTAATTTAATATGTAATATCAAATAATTTATAATGTAAAATAATTTTATAAAGTTACACAAAATATGAATAATTGTATTAAAAGCTTAAATTTAAAAATCATAAATAAATAAGATAAATTATTATCAGATATTTTTTAATTTTAAAATATTATATATAATTATATTATAATTATATAATATAATAATTAATATAATAACATTATAATAATATTTCAAAGTTTGATTATATATTTAATTTCAAACTTGTTAACACAAATTTAAGAATCATATACTAATAAAATATATTATTATGACATTTCATTATATTTTATTTATAAATATTGTTTATTTATTGCTATATAATTTTTTCTTAGTAATTTATCTTAGTCAGATTTTTTATTATTAATATTGAATCGTTGAATATGTGAATGTAAACGTACCGTCTGCGTTTCTCTCCTGTGGTGGATTGTAAATAAAATTTGCAGGCAAGGAACGAACTTTCGCGAGACCAGGCCTGCTAGCAGGAATCTTTTCGTTCGTTACTAAAATAGAATCACGTTCTCTAACGTCGTCATCTTCGTCCATGCTACCGTCGTCTCTTTCTCGTTTTATAGTTTCATCGTCTTCTTCCTCTTCTTCTACTTCCAATAGTTCTTCTTGCTCTGCGGCTAATTCTCTTTCTAGCTGTGTTTCCATATCCAGCTCATCTTCCATCTGATAAATAAAATTTAAAATCAATATTTTATAAATTTTTTTATATTTTAATACTCACTACTTTTCACTACATTTCATTTTTCTAAAATATCATGCATAAAATTTCATTTATTATTTGAAATGAAATACGGAAAATATTTACAGTAATAAAATTTATATAATATTATTTTATAAAGAAGTAATATAACATGAGAATAATAATTTATTTGAAATAGATACATATAAAATGATTTAAAGTCAAATTTTTAGTGAAATCTTTTATAATAGAATTCGATAAATTTGCAAATTTTAATATTTGAAAATATTAAATATTTATAATAAGTTACGTTAATTCTAAAATTTTCTGTTTTGAAATATTAAACTTTCAATTTGAATCTTTTTATTTACACATTCAATTAAAATTTTTGATCGAATAATGACTTTTATGTGAATATTTGTATTAATCTCGAATCATTATTAAATGAATATTATTTAAATGAATATTATTTAAATTATTATATTAAATGAATATTATTTAAAAAGTAAATTAAGTATTCTTGCCTGTTTATGACTCTCCTCGAGATGTTTCATGAGTACAGCGACGACGACGTTAACAAGAACGAATTGTGCCATCAGCACGAAAATTACAAAAAATATCGGAGCTATGATGGTGCTCACGCAACAATTCTTCACGCAATCCGCTGCTTCGTCGCAATCGTCTCTCAGAGTATCCTTCATGATACCATTCCAATTGTCGCCAGTGGCCACTCGAAAAAGTGTTAGAAACGCCATACCAAAATTACTAAAGTGGGCATGCTCTCCGAGACCCTGGCAAGGCATATCATCACTGCATTCTGCAATAAAAAATAAGTAAATTAATGATGTAAAATATTATTAATCAATTATATTATAGATAATTAATGTATTATATAATCATAATCAATTATATCATTGGATGCTCTAATTTTTAATTACAAAAAATGATAATAAGATATATATATTATAATATTCCGTAATAAATTCCGTATAATAAAATATAATAAATATTCAATTATTTATAACTATCTGCCACTTATCTAATAATTTATTTTTATACTTGAATAATGTAATTTTTTATATTAAATTTTTTTTGATAAATAATTATGTAAAGATCTAAAAAAATTATGCAGTTCTTAATTAATGCATTATAATTATCTTTAATTATAACAAAAAATTAATATGTATATTTATTTTTTAAATAAATTAAGTCATTTCATTATTCAATGTAAATTATTCAATGTACTTAAATTGATTGGAAAATAATTATTTTTCGATATAATAATTTAAATAAATCTCTTTGGATCATTTCTTAATATATTGTACTTTTTTTTAATTATAACTGTAATAAGGAGATATTTCATTTCAGTTACATAGATTATTTTATTTTAATGTTTACCTAAACGTCCAAACAATTCTACACCAAGAGCTGCGAAGATAAAAAACAGCAAAAAAAACAATAGTCCCAAATTTCCAACTTGCGGTAATGCTTGCATTACTGTGTCTAAAAGAGCTCGTATTCCTTTTGCCATTTTGAGCAACTTCAAAACTACAATAATAATTTAAAAAATTATTTGCATTTTGACAAGTTATTAATTTTTTTTAAATTTAATATTTTCTTTTCTTTAAACTTACCTCTAGCAATTCGTAAAACTCGCATGACTCGAATTATAGTAGGATTAATCGGAATGATCTTTGACTCAACTTCTTCAAGTACTATACCAACTACCGATAATATCACGATTCCTACATCTAACTGATTCCATCTAGAATTGAATATTCATTATTAATATTTCATTTCATAATATTAAGATGAGAAAAAAGAAGAAATTTTAAAAAATAATTCATACTTGTCTTTAAGATAAAGATGTAACCCTAAGGCAAGAAGCTTCATAAAAGATTCAAGAATGAAAACCGCAGTGAAGAAATAATTGAATATTTTTAGAGCGTAAGTCAGAGCTTTTGGCATCATGTAAAATTCCATTGCCATGGTAACAACATTCAGACCGATTACCGCAGCAATTGCTAAGTCGAAATATTTAGACGTCACAACATTATGTACGAACAGTCTAGATTTTGAATAATTTGTGTAATAAGGCGGTTCGTGCATTTCTGCAAATTGAATTAATATTAATAATTTTATTATTTTTAATAATAATTTTCTTATTTTTAATTATGTTTAATAATAATTTTTAATAATATTTTATAATATTTTTTTTAATTTTAATAATATTTCTTTTTTTTTTATTATTTTTTTATTATTTCTTCACATTAATTCTTATTTCAATATCTAAAAGTCTTATATAATTCAATTTCTGATTTCTGAATAACTGATAAAAAATTTTAAATTTAGAAAATAAATTGGTAGCAAACGAAATAAGTAACAGCAATTTAGAAAAAATTATTGAATCAAAACATTTTTTAAGAAGACAGAAAAATGAAAAATTTTTATAAATAATAAAAAAAAATACAAAGAAATATCCGGCTATAAACACAAAAGATTAATCAAAATAAATATTATTCGTTTATTTATTTTATTCTTTTATCTTCTAGTATTTTCTAGTAATTTCTAATAGTTTCTTTCTAATATTCTATGTTTAATGCTAAATATTATATTAAATATTATAATTTATATATTAAATAAATTAATTTTATTTTCTTCTATTTTATAATAAAAGAATTTCCTATGAAAGATATATTAAATTATTTTACATAAAAATTTATTGTTTAAAAAAAATTATAAGAATGTATATATATCAATATTTTTATTTTATTTCTATTAAAATTCAGTTAAACAGTTTTTCTTTTTTCTTACTTCGTCGTTTTTTCTCCATTTGTAAGGCTCTTTTAGCAGCCCTTCTTACGCGCTCTTCTTTTTCCTGTTCCTCACGACATCTGTGAAAATTTTCCACTACAACACCTACAAACATGTTTAGGACGAAGAAGCCCACGAGTAGAATAAAAGCTATGAAATATAAAAGCCGCCATTCCGAATAATTCTCGATTGGCTAAAATAGAGAAATAAAAAATATTTCAAATTTTAATATAAAAATATGTTATCATATTAAAAAGATATAATTTTAGGTATCTAAATAAATTAAATCTTAAATAAACAATATTTATACGTACAAATTTTTCAAATGAAAAAAAGGAAAATAGGAAAAATTTAATTTAATTAAAAATTGAATAATTTAATAGGTTTATTTATTAATCAAGTGTATATTTTTTAATTATAAGAACATTAAATTTATATGATATTATATGATATTTAACGTAACATTTTCTGTATCTTTTTTTCGCTGAGTTTTATAAAAATAAAAATACTATATTTTTTATTTTAATAATATTATAATATATATTATATTATAATATATCTTTAAAAAAAATTGTATAAAATAAAAATATTGTATAAATTATATAAAAAAATATATATTTTTATTTTTTAGATTTGTATTAAAAAAGATAAAATAATAATAAAATTATATAAAAAGTAACTATTCTTGTATTATTCAAATTTTTTTTAAATAAATATAATTTATGTTTATTAATACAAGCACGTTACCTGTTGATCAACGCCTACAGCATCTAATCCAGTGTACATGATGTTTACCCATCCATCCCTTGAGGAAAGTACAAATAACGACATCAGCGCTTTTCCAAGATCATCGAAATTGTATTTTCTATTTAACCAAATGTTTCGTTTGTCGGCCAGGCAGTCCGTTTTATTGCGTACATTTTTAATATCAGGCCCTTCACAATAATAAAAGGCACCTTTGAAGAGTTGCACGCCCAAGATACCGAAAATTACGAAAAAAGTACAGCATATCAAAACGATGTTGCCGATAGGTCGTAAAGAGGATAATAATGTCTGAACAACCAGTTTCAAACCAGGAGCTCGATTAATAACCCGTAATGGCCTTAATGATCTTAAAAGTCTAAAAACCTGTAAAGATATGAACTGTTAAGATATGAAGTGTTAGAAGTTTTTTTAATGTATAATAAATGCAAAATGTAATTATATAATAGTAAATACGTATATTTTAAATCAATATTTATTGTCATTCAATAATTAATTTTATTTGACATTTATTAAAATAATAATTAATAAATATTAATAAATATAATTATATTAATATTATTCAATATTCAATTTTCATTTGAATAAATTTGAAAAAGACTTTTTTTTTCGAATAATATATAATTTCGAATAATAATATGTTATAGTTTTGAATAATTATATTCAACGAATGATATTATTTTAATAGATAATGAAACACATGAAATATTAAAAAATTTTAAATATTAAATAAAAATATAAGTTAATATTTAATTTAGATAAACAATCAACATAAGAAATTAATTATTAAAAATTAAAAAGAAAAATAAAAATTTTCAATTCTATAATATGATATAATTATAAAACTTCACAAATAATAATTTTATTTAAATAATTCAATACAATAATAAATTACAAAAATAATATTATTAATTTATATATATATATATTTTAATTTTTATATTATATAATAACATATTAATATATATATATATTTTATCAAATATATTAAAAATATTTTTAATAAAAATATATAATTTAAAAACATATATTAAACATATATTAAATATATAATATTTAATAAAAATTTAATAAAAACATAATTTAATAAAAACATAATTTAAAAAATATATTAATATATATATAATATATTCAAAATGTATCAAATAATACATATGCTATGATTTTATCATAATAAAAATTTGTTATTACAAATTGCAGGTTAACAATATTAAATATATTTAATAAAAAAATGTTTGTTTACAGTTGGTAAATTTCTTATAATTTTTGTAGAACAATTCACAAATAAAAAATAGTTACAATTTATAAATATTTATAAAAATACAAATATCATCATTCATTGTAATATCTTAAATTTTATTTTAAATATTATTTTAAGTAATTTATTTACAATTTGTTACAAATATTAATATTAATTAATCGTTTATTAATTTTAATAATAAAAAATTATATATAAATATAATAATTTAATAAATATAATATTAAATATTAGAAACAATGTTGTTAATTATTGACTTATATATATATATATATTTATATTTATATATATTATATTTTGACTTATATATATATATTTATTTATTGATTATTAACTTTTCGACGTAAAGTATGACGTATCTGGCACATCACTGTAAAGTTGAGATATATATGATGTGCCTCAAACATCATTCAACATAAAAAATTATTTATATATATTTGTTTTATGAAAAAATTTATTTCAATATCCAAATGATAATAAATTATCTTTGTTTTAATTATTCCCTAAATCTCTTAAAAAAAAATTTTTAACAAATAATATTTCATTTGCCAAAGTATTAAAAGTATTCAATTCGGTTCAATTTGGTTTGAACGAGTATAGTGATAGAACGAGAAGTGCAAATTGATACTTTGACGTATTATAGTTTTTAAAAAGTATAATTAAAAGAAAAAATAAAATAAAAGAATTTAAAAAATAATTGTAACAAATAAATCTATATTATAATCATTTATTTTATTAGAATAGAACATTAAAATTCTAATTTATATAATTTTTATCTATTCATTCTATTAAAATAAAGTATTGAATTTATCTTTGCAAATATTTTTTATATAATATTATGATAAAAAAAACAAAAAAACTATAAAATTCATATTATGTTAAAATCATACAAAATAGGAAACGTACCCTCAATATTCCAAATATTCTTGGACTACTCGACGACAATAAAGACATTGATAAATCAATTATAGAAATGATTACAAGAACTCCGTCCATAATATTCCAACCTGAAGTAAAATAAGCGTCGGAACCATACAGCATACCAGATGCAACAACCTATGAATCATAATCTTTTTAATGAAAGTTATTTTCGTTTAATATTTCTCAAAAATTTATCAAATTTTCATGTCACCTTGATAAACATTTCAACAGCAAACACCCCGGTGAAAATATAATTCGCACTTGATAAAAAAAGTCTTTCTCCACTATCAGGTGGTATATTTGGCCGTTCCATTGCCAATGTAATACAATTGAGACCGATAAAAAAAAGTACTACGTTATCAAACCATCTTTGATCGACCAACAATCGACATAAAACACGAAATCTGAAAAATGTAAATGTTTGTTATTAATTAAATATATATAATATATAATTATATATACGCTATGTTTTTTAATAAATTTCTGTTTGTTTAAATATTTATAATTGGTTATATATATTCATGTTAATACTTTTCATGCTCTATGTTGAATGATATTGAAATTTTATAAATATTTAATAATAAATATTTATTAAATAATTAAATAAAATGTATTTGTTAAAATACATGTTTTTCTTAAGATAAATTTGGTTTTGTTACTGATAATTTATAATAAAAAATTTTTCATAAAACAGAAAGATCTTTGATTTTTGAAAGAGTTAAAAGCATTTTTGAAAATAATTAATTGAGTATTGTAAATAGTTGGAAAATTTATTTCCAAAAATTAAAACATGAATTTAATCAATATTAATATCATATAAAAATTAAATATTATAAATAATTATTATATTATTATTATTACAAATAATAATTAAATAAAAATTTATAGACAATATTTAAAGATTTTTAATCTTTATTAAAAAAAAATATTAATATATTATTCTGTAAATAAAGTTTATTAAGAAATTCCTAAATATATTATTATAATATATATAATTTTTTTTTTATATTTATATATTTAAAATGAATATTAAAAAATTTTATAATTTTTTTATTTAAAATTTTCCTAAATATAATTTATTTTAAATGAATAACTTTGATGTTATTCTGATATATTCTAATCACTAAATCTTATATTTTAATTATTATTTGCAATTAATAAATCTTAATAATTTTAAAATCATGATGTTATGAAATTATGCTATATATCCAAACTTAATATTTATTTTCAAAGAAGTAAAAAAAAATCATATTTTCTTTATAAATAGAATCTTTATATAAATTTATAACATGAAGAAAAAAATTTTATAAATTATTAAAAAAACTTTAATAACTATATTATAACATTACAAAAATAATTTTATAAATTCAATAGATATATATGATATATATACTTAACAATAAATTAATTATTATATTGTTATTATATTATTAATATTTGTAATAAAATATAAACAATAATTATACATAATTATATTATATTTATATTATTAATTTATAAATATTTATTTTATTATATATATAAATATAATATTAAATATATATTAAATATATATTATTATAAATATAATATTATTATTTATATAAATATTTATATTTATATTATATCATAAGAAAAATTTCTCATTCTTGATTTTTTGCTTTTTATATCCTCTAATAGTTAAAAAAAAATACTTAAAAAAATTAAAATTAAATAGAAAATTAATTGACAAATTTCATATTTCAATAACTATTATAAGCTACAAATTTTATATGATAATCTAGTTTCTTGTAAAAATTAGAAAATGTGACTTATTTTAATAAGTATTAAGTATTTTATACAATTTTCATATATTATATATATTATAATTTTCTATTAAACTAATAGTATTATTAGATTTAGAGTTTAGATTAGATTTAGATTTAGATTTAGAGTAAACTATTAGTATTATTAGATTATTAGTAACGATTAATATATAAAGTTACCTGTTATTCGGTGGAAAAATGTACAGTGAGTAATCATCGCGTTCCTTAAGGCATCCTTTAGGTTCAAAAAACATGAAAATCTTTTTAATTCTCTCAATACTGCTCACACTACCATGACCATTCAAGGGAGGCGTCTGTTCGTCTGTATGATTGTCATTATCTTGATCGGGAAGTCGTTTAATTCTAGGCAGTGGACCAGTCTCCATTGATAAATTATTGATTGTACGTGCCGTTGAGCATTGCATAGATACCTCGTCTAGAGGTAAAATCTTCCTTGTTGGTGATTGAACATTTTCATTTTCACGCAACGAGTTCCTTCGTGAAAGGTCACTAATCCATCGCATCTTCAAAATATATATGAATTCCAAATACTTCAGATTCATCATTAACATTATATGTGAATACACATTTAAAATATCGTATTTAAAATATCGATAATATTCTATTTTTAAGAATATATATGTCATCGATTTCGATAACTTTGAAATCAAAAGTATTTTTAATTCTTTTCTATTTATACATATAGAGGATGTTAATATATTTGTGAAACAGTTGAAGTTGTATAAAAGAAGAAATATAAAATATCAAAAGAAATACAAAAGTTGGTATAAAATCAATTGACATTTATTTATTAAATTATAAGCAATTTAAGTTCATGAGACTAGAATAAAATGTAGCAATGATGTAATGGAGATAATTTTATTTAATAAATAAATCTTAATTTATATTTTTGTACATGTATATAAATATTTATATTTGTATATAAATATTTTTTAAGCTTCTAAAATTGAAAAAGAATCTCGAATATATTATAAATTTTGTATATAATAAAAATATTAATAGATAAATGAATTCATAATAAAATGTTAATATTAACAGTATTTTTCTTTATTTGAAATAAATTTTCAATTTAATATTTGTTATCTTTGCTATTAATATTTGTTTTTTAGATTTTTTATTTAATTTCGCTATGAAAATATAAAGATATTTTATTCTTGTAGCCAATCAGCTAAAATCAGCCAATCAGCTAAAATTCAATTAAAATTTCAATAATATTTTCATTTATTTTAGAAATTAAAATGAATAATTTCGTAAAAGAAATATTCTAAAGATATATATTTAACTATGGATATTTTTTTATTTAACTACGGATATTTTATAAAATATGAAAAAAAGAATATAAAAATTTGAGAATTGATTTCACATATGCAAAAAAACTTTGTATCGAAAAATAAATTTATATTCATATAAACAAATTTTCAATAAAATTAGATTTGTCAAAACGGATGAATTTCTTTTTTAAGATATAAGTATATGAAGATTTTTATAAGTTATATAGTATTAATATTTAGATATTTGAAATCAAAAAATTTTAATTTATTTAAAATATATAATAATTCGAAAAGAAAATTTATGTTTTCATTTATTTATTTTAAAATAGATAAAATATGATAAAATGATAATTTTTTAACAAATAAAAGTTTGAAAAGAAAGAAAATTAATCTTTCACATTTTAAAGATACTGTGAAAAAAAGTTGTTGAAAGTTTTTCAAGGAACTCGTAATCTTGAAACTCTTAATACACAAGAATTGTAATAATATATATTTTTGTTAAATAACATCTTCGGTTCGTATTTCTATTTTTGTTTTTATTATCAAAAGAAGAAAACTGATTTCTCTAAAAAATCGTTTCTAAATAATAACACTTTTAATAGAAAACTATATCAAATGAAAGAAAAAGACTTTTTATACGAAATATTCTTTGTTAAATAATATGAAATCAAATGTTTAAAATTTTAAAAAAAAAATGTTTAAAGATAAATATTTAAAAATGTTTAAAAGTTTAAAATTATTATGTTCGCTAAAATACATTATAAATAAGTTTGTAAAAATTTCAATAAACTTTCAGAAATTTTTATTTTTATTTATTATAATTTAAAGAAATTTTAATTATTTAATATTAAAAATAAAATATAGATTCCAAAAAATTGCGTATCTCTAATTATAATTATTTGTATTATAACAACTTGAAAAAGAAATTAAAAAATTAATTTATTTCTAAAGATAAATTTGTCATAATTAAAAAATTTTAAATATAATTTGAAATATAAATAATTTAAATAATTTTTTAATAAAAATTAAAAATGATCTATTTTAAATATTATATAAATATTTTAATAAAACATTCATTTTAAAATAATATTTAATACGAATTAGTATTAGAATATAATTGATCATTTAAATCGACCCAAATATTTTAGAAATTATTAATGATAATAAAAACATATTTTAGATAAAATGCTAAATTATATGACATAAAAATAAGAACATTTAAAAAATATGTGAAACTTTGTTTTCTTAAATTGAATGAATTCTTATATATGAATTCTTAAATAAATTTATATGGAATAAAATATAATTCTCTACAAAAATATTAAGCTATTTATAGTGAAAATATAAAAGTATATAAAATAGCATATAAAATTTTGTAAAATTTTATTACATGAAAAATAATAAAAAAAATAAAGAAATGTTTATTATTTGAATGTATAATAAATTTTTCGATTTTATCAGTATCTTTTAAAGTGATATTTTTTGCTATTATAAATGATTATATAGACAATAACGAGTCACTTACTATATTATATTACTGTATAGAAAATAAGTAATTTTATTTAAAAAAATAAAATTGACTTTCATTTATCCTTTACGCGTCCAATTAAAAAAATTTGTCGTCATATTATGTATCCTTCAAAATTCCAATTCAATTTCAAAATATTCTTTAGTGTCGTCAATAATTTCGAAGATAATCAAATCGAATCTTTTTTAAATGAATCTCCCTATATTTTTAAAACTATTTCTTTATGTAATTATTATTTTAAAAAATATATACATATATTTATAAAATTTAAAATATATTTTATAAAATATTTATAAAACACACGAAAATATAAAAATATTTATTCCTTATTCATTTATTTCGAAAAATCTATTTTTTCCAATTCAGCATAAACAATACACATTTTTAGAAAATATACAAATTTGTTTTTTTCTTCTACTTAATCGGTAATTCATTATAATTTTTGAAAACACTTACCTGATTGGGCGTTGCTGTGTAACATTTAATGGAGGAGCTACGGCTTTCGATGGAATTATTAGGGCTGAGACTACGATTATTGCTTGTTAGGACAGTCATTCGATTATTCGGTGTATCGCTTTGCGTGTCATTTCTTATTGAACCGTATAAATAACCACTGTTGAAACTGAAATATAATTTTCCGAAAGTTACTACATTAAAGGAGAAACTAGAGCATAAACATGTTCGTGTATTCGTTTGTTCTGAATAGACGTTATTGTAATCACCGTTGTTTGAAGAACGATATGTACATTAAAAATTTCCACTACTTGGATATTTAGCTTTGAGAATGTCCTTGCACATAATTAAAGAAGTAATTGAAGAAAAAAAGAAATTAATATTTAACTAGCAAATATCGTATTCGATTTTGATAAATAAATATACTTTTAATTGCCTATAATCGAGATCTAAAAGCAGAACGAAACAAAGAAATGCATCTTTAACATTTTAATGCACCAATATTTCTTTTACTTTGATATTTCAAAGGAGAAAATAATAATATAATTTGAAAAAACAATATATATTTTCAATGATATATAAGAAAATATTGATTTCTTTTTTGCATGATATCACATATATTATTTTAAAAATGAATAATTTGAATGAATTAATATGCTATGATTTTAAAATCGATTAAAGATATTAATGTAATATATTTACAAATTATTTATATTGATTTTCATAATGTCAAAAATTAATTGCAGAGAAATAAAAATAGTATAAATATATTTATTTTTTTAAATAATTTGTTAATGATTATTAAAGTCTTTATAATTTATCATAATAAAAAATATTGCAATTTCAAATAAAAAACAAAAATCATAGTTCTATATATATTGTATATTTTTTATTTTATTGATTTTTAACAGAAAACTTTGAATTCCATATTATTGCAATAGCAAAAAAAATATCTATAAAAAAAATTAACGAAAATTAAAGAATAAAATTTTTTAAAATTTGGTACTATTTGGTATTAAGAAATATTTACTTGAATTATTTCGAATAATTAATTAAATTATTTTGAGGAAATGTATCAATACATATGCATTTAATTCCTAAATAATTACTTGATGGATTTCTCTGTTCATGCTCATATTCATAAATACTGTTAAATACTGTTGTTGCATGTTATATCCATTATCCTATTGACTTGTTTTCAATGTGATTTATCAAAAGATTATGAAATTTATATAAATTCATATTTTTATGAATATAATTAGAGTTCTAAATAGAAATTTATTTTATTCATTAAATAATTTTAATTTAAATATTTGATATATATTTGCATAATATACATATGCATGCTATGCATTCTATGCATCTTTTATTTACTGTCCTTTAACATTAATATTTCATATAAAATATATTTTTTTAATAATTAATAAATTATATAATGTAATTGTATATTATATTATATAATGTAATTTATTATATATTATTATTGTATATTATAATAGTAATGTAATTTGACAATTAAAGTGATTAAATAAATTAAAGTTCTATATTTCTTAAAGTACCATATTATTATTGAATTTAAATATTATTTTATTTAAGTTTTTACGTATTTAAATTATTTTTTTCAAAAAATAAAAAAAAAGAAATTTTAATAAAAGACAATGTCAATTACAACAATGTTTTGAAAAATACGAAAATAATTATAAAGAAAAATATAATTAAATTGTTATATATATATACATTTTAATAAATTACTTTTTCAGAGTATTATTATATGAAAGAGATTATTTAACTTTATTAACAAAATTCAGTTATTTTATTATAAATAAAAAATAACAATATATAAATTCAAAAAAATAATTATAAAAAAAAATTATAAGTAACTATAATAATATGTATCTATTCATATTATCTTTTTAATATGATAAATAATAAGTTTTTCTAATAAAAAAAAATTGAAAATATTTAAAATATCAAACTATTTTATGTTTAATTAGAATTATAAAGAAAATAAAGAAGTAAGTACTTTTCTTTACATTTTCATTAAAAATTGAAGAAATATCTTTTTTTAGAAGGTTATAAAAGATAGTAAAACTTTATATAAAACTATAACAAATTATAAAAATCTGAAAGTAAATCGCTAAACAAGTTAAGGTTTCTTTCTAACTTTTGTTCTAAAAATAAGGTACATAAGTTGAATTACTATAAATATTCAAAAATTTATTAAATTTAATTCTGCAAATTAAAATATGATAAAAATTAAAAATAAAAAATTATTAAATTTTTTTTTAATTATTGATTTACTAGTTATATAATTTTTTTAATTTTGTCTTAGAAATATTTTATATTTATAAAAGAAATTAAAATAAATTACTTCCATGTAATTAAATAATTGATTTGTAATAAATCTCAAATCTTCTTTTATTAATTTATGAAAATTTCAGAAATATAATTTTTTATTTCTATTCTGCTCAAATATTTTCTCAAATAGTTCCTTTTTGTCATATTTAATTGTTTAAAAATTAGTAGAAATTGCATTAAAATATTCGATAAAAAATATTTTAACTTTAAAATATTTGACATTGAAATATATAAAATTGAATAAAACATTAATAGATTAAAATTTTTAAAATAAACATACGATTAAGAAAATTAATCATCGTAAAATTAATTTAATTGATTGATCATTAAATTAATCATTGATTGATTTGATTAAAATTATAATTAAATTGAAATTATAAAAATTTAAAAATTATTTTTAAAATTTTTGAAATTAGTAATCAATAATAAATATAAATAAATTTTATCTCATTGCAAATTTTATCTCAGTGCTTTAATATTATTTGACAAATGCTTTACAGGCTTTATCATCTTTCGATATTTGGCCACAAGCGACATCAAAAATAAGGCGAAAAGAACAAAAATCTCATATAGAATAGTAATCTCACTGAAAAAGGAATTTCAATAGTTTGTTATTATTCAATCCTCCAATTGATGGTTAAAATTAAATTTTTAATTCAATCGTAATAAATAATTAAAGATACGTATTTAGTGATTAATCACAATTAACGATTAAGAATTTAATCATTAATTGTGATTAAAAATTAAAGTAATAATTAATCTTTTAAATTAGTATCTGATTCTATTTTGAGAAAAAAGACTTATTTTAAGTTTTTTTAAATTATATTTATTTTCATTGTAGAGATATATAATTTTTTTTAATTGAAAAGAAAATTATTTAAAAATGATCAAAAACAATATATTCTAATACTAGACTAATAGTAATTTGTCATTATTTATAATTATTTATATGAAAATATTATCTAAAAATAAATATATATTAAATTGAAACATAATATATGTAAAGATGGAAACTAGTGCATTACGTATCTATTATCTAGTGCATAAGATATTATCTTTTATTATTGTCATTAAAAAATTAAATTTAACAATTTAAAATAGATAATATAATATAATGTCAATATGTAGATTGTTTTTTTCTATTTTATATTAAGTTAGAAATTAATATCTACGAATTTAAAAATTAAATTACAATATCGAAGAAAAAATATGATAAAATAATTTTAGAAATTAGGAAAACATGAAAATCAATATTTCATATTGAAATGAATGAAAAGATTTTATTAATTTATAGCACTACTTTAGAATATTTTTGCCTCTTACATATTATATTATATCTTATATATTAACAAGATTTACTTAATAAAATAAGTAAAATAATAAAATAAAGTAAGTCTAATATAGAAGTTTGATTTTGATGAATTTTATTTAATCTATTTTTATTTATTCTTATCCGTCCTTAATAAATAATTAAAATTTCAAGTGTCAATCGTATCATCTTCATTTTTAATTTCATGAATAATATTTTTAACCATTACTGTTAAAAAGAAAAATATGATTAAATTTTCCATATGCCTTTTGACATTGTATACGTACAACAAAAAAAATAAGTAAATATTTAAATGAAAATCAAAAAAAAAAAATAAAAAATAAAAAATTTTTTTGCCCGTATTATAAACTTAAAAAAAAATAAAAACTTAAAAATATCATAGAATAATCATTTTAGTAAAATATTAAAATCATAAAATATTAAATATTTAATATTATATCATTATACAAATTAATATTTTATTAATATCATTACACACGTTATCACAATTATCAAATATTTTTCAAAAATAGATTTGTTTTGTTCTTTATCAATGTATAATTTTTCATAAAATACATCAAATATCCATCATAATCAAATTTTGTTGCAATTGATAATTTGAACATGTTTTTAAGCGATTAATGAATAAAATATTGTCATGAATTAATCAGTATGTTTCAATTAATGTTAAATTAAATAATTATATATATATATATATATATATATATATACACATTAAATATGATTGTATAAAGGACGCGCTCAAGTTTAATATACATAATACAATCGAAATTCAATAATCCAAGTATAATGCAATATATAATATTAATACAATATAGAAAATTAATATCTTTATAGATATAAATAAAATATTTCGAATTCAATTAATCATATGAATACATGATGAAAAATCTCTCAAAATAAACGTAATAACATGACTAGTGAGTATCATGAATGAAAACCATCAACTGAGCAGTTAAAGAGGTTACTATTTTAATTCAATATTTTTTTGGTATTTTCATGTATTGCTTTCACGAAGAAATTGTGAAATGTTAAATTTCAATATTTATTTGTAAGAACAGTAAACAATCGTCTCTCAAAATCTAGTAGAGAAGTACTTCTTTTCCACAATAATAAACACATTTTGTGACTATTAATTTCATTGAATAGAAACATTGTCTTATTCCTGGATTCTAAAATTTCCCACAAATATTCTTAAATTTAACTTAAGAACATTTAAAATTAAATACTATACTAAGATCAATATTGGACAATTTTATTAAATTTGTTTAATATTGAAACAATTTAACTTTCATCCTAATACTTTATTTACATATATTTTTTATATTTTTTTTTAAAAAATGATGTTATTGTGCTATTTATAAAAAAATTAATTCTAGATTTTCACTTAATAAAAAATATAAATATAAAATATATTTAATATTATTAAGACAAAACATAAAAAACAATAAAAAAATATGATAATATTTGTTAAAAAAAATCTTATCGATACATACAATTTTTATGTTCTATAGATGATAGTCCTTTAGATGATTAACGATTAATTATTGTTTTGTAATTGTTACAATTATGTATTTATTGTATTATTTTTTTAGATTGCAATTAAATATGTTTAGTTTTGAATAAATACATAAAAGAAAAATTTAAAAAACTGTTTTTTCTTCATTTCTTCTTTACAATGAAACAAAATTAACAATAGTAAAATCGAGAATAATACGAAATTGAATACATGAAAAAAATCTGAAAAATGTGAAATTTTTTTATTTTAAATAAAATCATTAGTAAAATTAATTATTTATCTTTTTATTGTATCAATATGATAAACACGTTAAGTTATGAAAATAAGAAATGGTTAAACAATTTAACATAAAATGTTAAAACAACATAACAAAAAATTTTAAAATATTCAATTATATTAAAATCAATAAATTATTCCGTTTGAGAGCTACAAAGTCTCCAAAATAATATTAATAGAAATCATATATGATAAATACATTATCTAATTAGAACCACTTTCTAAATCATTTATTTACTATTTTTTTTATTTCTTTATCTATCAATATAATGTTATATTATTTAATCAAACTTACGTTGAATTGGAACCTAATATAGTGTTTCGACCGTTATTTAGAACAGTGGCTCTACCAGGAGGTTCATCTTCCGTTTGTGACCAACGTTTCTTTCTCAAAGATGGCCGTGATAATTTCCACGAATAACCTCTTTGTATCCTTGGTGGACTGTAGCAAAAAATAGTTATACAATTTCAAGTAGAATGAAAGCGATAAGGTTTCATTCAATTTTACGTTTAATGTGATTTATTCTAATTTTCTATGTATAAAATTGATTTTGTATGTAAAATATATGCATTACATACCTTGAACTAGATGATTCTCTCGTTGCTGGATTAATAACAGCCGTGACAAGGCTTATTCGTCGAGGAAATTGTCCGGCAATGAGATTTTTAGTTGATATTTTGTTTGAAACGTTTGATAGCTTTAACAGGCCAGAAGGAATACTACACTGACTCTATAAAATAAAATTTCGTAGGCAATGGAATAAAATTTATATATTTTTAAAGATAAAATAAAGAATATGAATAAATTATAAATATTTATTTAATATTAAAAAAATATAGATATTTTTTTTTTAAAATTCTCTTTTGAGAAATTATTTATGTAATTTAAGTATTTTAATGTTCATAATATATATATATATAATATATAATTTAATTTAATCATATAATTTAATTAAAATAGCAAAATAAATAATATTGATATTGTTAGATATAGAGAATAGAATTTAGGCATACAACATAAAAAAAAAACATTATTTATTTATATTGTATAATATTTTTAAATAAATAAAAAAATATTTTAAAATAATATCTTTAAAATAAATATGTATAAAAATAAACACGTATAAGATATTAGATCATGATACTTTATTTATTTTTTATGCAAAGATATTTTTAAGATAATAATATTTTTTTTGAAAATAAAAAATTTTTTTTATAATAACTGTACGGTATAATAAATATAAAAAAATCTAAATTATTATATCAAAAAGACAAAGTAAATTTTTAATTAAAAAAAATTGAAATAGTTCAATTTTTTATAAATAATTTTTTTATTTAACATGAAACAAAAGATACAAAAAAAATAACTTTATAGATTTATCTCTCAAAATAATTTTTGACAACAAAAACATATCAATTTCGTCAAATTATTTACAATATATTTATAATAAATTCTGATTTATTATAAAATTTAAAAAATAAATGCAAAATTATTTTATATCACTCTATACAGAGAGTATTAGAAGTAAATTGAATAATTTCATCAAAATATTCAATATTATTATTACCATAATTATAAGTTAATTAATATCTAGAACAATTTTAAATAATTTTCATAAATTTTTGCATATTATTTAAAACCAGTAATTATTTTTGAAAAGATAAAAGTGATTACTTACATATATAATATAAAATATTTGATCAAAAGTATAAGCATTATAATATATTTACAATATATATTTACAATATATTTTAGTCTTTTTTCACAATAATTTTTGAATCGCAATTTACGAATAATAGATATCAATCATATATATATACACATAATAAAAAATATAAGTTAACCAATTCGATAAAAAGTTCTTTTTACATATTTTAAATTGTTATAACTTTGTAAAAAAAAAAATTATACAACAAATAAACTAATTTTAAAGTATGAAATCTCGTGAATTCGTTTTTTTGAAAAATGTTTTTATATAATGTAGCAAATAAAAAAGTAAAGATACTTTTTTTCTAAAAAATTTGAAAAATTCAATCTGCTGTAGAAACACTGAAAAATTATTTTCATTAATAATTCATTTAATTGAATTCAAAATAGACTATTGTAGAGAGAAGATTGAAATCTTCTCTTTGCTATAACCTAAAATTTGCAATAGGATTTTTTTTCAATTTTTATTAAAAGTTATTAAATTTTGAATATTACAACTATAATTTAAGAAACATTAAATTTTTCTTATTTTTTCGATTAAATGTTTATTCAAAATATTCAATAATTCAACAAAAAAAAATTATACAACAAGTTTGGAAATGTAAACGAAAGATTTCATCTTAGATTCTATTATAAATTCAATTACGAAAAACATTTATCAGTATTTATTAGAACCGATTGAATTTTTCATATTTTTGAAAAGAAAAGTATCTTTATGTTTTATTTGTTATCTATTTGTTATGTGATATAAAAATATCTATAAAAAAACGAACTCTAGGACTGAAAGTAAAAGTTTTATGCTATAAAACTAGTTCGTTTGATTGTTATGAAATTTTTTTTTTTACGAAGTTAAATAGTTATAATAATTTGAAATACCGATTGGTTGATGTTTGCTTTTTACTGTATATGCTATTTATAAAAGTTAGTTAGTTTAAACGATAATTTTCGTGAAAGTTAGAATCACAATTTTATATATTTTCGGTTGATCTGACAATCAGTTGTTTTCTTTGAATTAAGTAAGTTAATGAAACATAGAAACAAATAATACCATTCACATAACAATTACATGAATCGTTCATTCGTAATGAATTAAACAAATTTATGATACTATAAGTAAATACTATGAAATCTCCATATTCTGAAAAATGGATAAACATTAAATATAGATTTATATAGAGATATAGATAAATAATTTTTTCAATAGAATTAACAAAGAATTAATTAAAAAAAAAGAAATAATCGATTCTCGATCTCGAGAGACTCAAATATTTAAATGAAATTTTAAACAAAAATTTAATTTTTATCGAAAAGTCATAATGGTAAAAAATAAATCATACAGAAGAAAAAATTTTTGGAGGCGAGGAATATTGAATTTTTGGACGAATATCGAAGCATTTTTTGTCTAAAAAAAAAAAAAAAAAAATATGACGAATAAAGGTTTCACTGTACTATAAAATTAGATATTGCATCAGATGAATATCTTATAGTCAAATGCGTATACTGAATATAAATGGACATTCATTTATTTATTTCACATCAATCGTTGTGTAAAAGAAGGATCAAATACGTGAATCCTGCGTAAAAGAAAATTTAATATGCTTTCAATACAATTTTCGTAAGTACTCGATCACTCTTTAAAATTTATAGATTTTTAGATCTTTTTCTTATATATCCATTGCTTCTTTCTATATCGATCGATTTCGATGAAATTTTATATATATAGCTGACAAAATCTATAATTGTAATTTAAAAAAAAATTTTTTTTACACATTATTTAATAAATTAATTTTTCTAAAATTTCAAAAAAAATCAAGTTACTTGTCAATTTAATTTTTAGAGAAGTTATTCTATTTCAAATGAATATATTAGAAATCTGATAGCAATATATTATTAATAAATCATGTTTTTTTTATGTTAATGGTATTATTTATAATAATTAATTTATAAAGTTTTATTATTATATGTTATGTAAGTTTTATTATTATATATATTTTATTATTTTTTTCTTTAACTCAATAATGTTATTTTGAAGTTTATTTCTGTATTTATATAATTTTATACCATTAAATTATGCAATCTCAAGTAAATCTCAAATAAAATTCATTAAATAAATTTCTTCAAGTATATAAAGAAAATAAGAATAATCAGAAGTTTTTATAAATGAATGTTCATTGTTGTTTTCGAAGTGTATAAAATATTCAATAATTCAATAAAATATTCAATAAGTGTATAAAATATTCAAATAAAATAATATTGAAACTTTAAATTTAACATATTCAATTCTGAAAGAATCTATAATCAAAAAAGAGATTGTAATTTTAAAACAAATTATTCTATTTTAAAAAGTGATCAAATACTTTTTATCAATAATTATATTATGTTTCCAATAAAATGTTAACAATGATAAAAAAATTGATACGAATTAAGTATTAAAATTATTTTAAAAATATATACGTACTCCTGAACGATCTATAGATTCGATTGACAGTGCCGCAGTAGGATAAACAGCTCGATAGTTTAAATCTCTGTAACCGACGTCGAGAGTGGTGTTCGGTGAATCTTGAGGAGTGGCCGCTGTATGGGTAATTATCGGTGGTTGACCGGCAGTACCCATTATTTTATTCTCCTTTTGAATATTACACTTAGGCTCGTCCATTTGGTGCTTCCATACGGTATTCTGTTTTTCCTTGCTGTTGTTATCTTTATATTTGCGTAACTCTTCCGCACTCTGCCAGGAATTTTTTCGATCCTAAATTTAAATATTTGCTTGCTTGAGATAAATTGCAAGTTTTCTCATATTTATGCATAAATTTTGTTTATTTCACGAGATAATAGAATAAGAAAGGACTAAAAAAGGACTCAGAAATTTAGGAATATGTAATATTCTTGTTGTAATGTTTAAATAAAAAATTAATTAGATAAAAAATTAATTATGTTTAAAAAAAATTATGATAAAATTATGTTTTTTGTTAAATTAATTTATTAATTAATTTTTGAAATTGAAAATAATTTTTTACTAAAGGTAGCTTGTTTATATATAATTTATAATAATCTGTTTAATGAATTATCTATTTCTTTTATGTTTTATATACATATTATTGGATTTATATTTTGTCGTATAATTTATATACATTTTAATACTCGATTAGAATATTTTAAGTACTTACATGATACATTAAATTTTATACAGATAATTTTCAAAGCTTTATGTATTTTATTTTATATAACAGATATATTTATAATATATAATAGATTATATCGATAAATAAATTTTTATCATAAAATTCTGTAATTTAAATTTGTAAAAAATTATTTTTTCCCGTTATTTTTCACAATAGTATCTTTAATAATATAATATAATTAATATAATATTTAATAATATAATAATATAATATATAATATAATATATAAAATATATAATATAATAATATAATATATAAAAATATATTAAAAATATAATAAACTCCATTTTGATATTTTCTTTCTTCTTTTCATTTCTTTTTTATGTTAGAATGTAAGTTTTTAAAGTATATATTTGTTAAAGTAAAATAAAAAAAAATCTTCATATTATAAATATCTAACATAATATCATTAATATAATATTAATCATTTATAGATAAATAATAATAAATTTTTTAGATATATCAATATATAATATTGGGTTATTTTAAATATTTGATTTCTATTTGATTTATAAGATATATCTTTATATATGTATTTTTTAAAATATCTTTTAAAAAGATATATCTTTTTAAGATTTTAATAAAAGTTTTAAGTTTTTCTAAATGAATTATTAACAAATTATATTATACTAAAAAATATTAAAAGATACTAAACATATAAAAATAGAACTTCTATAATCGCAAAAAAAAAATAATAATAATAATTCATTGCTATTATGCAGTATAATTTCTTCTAAAACGAGCAAATTATTTGCTTTATCCGAAAAAGAAAATTTTAACGAAATTCATTGTGCTCTATTTATAGCGTATATCCATCATTTTTCTACTAATTATAAACGATGTTATCTATCTTAATAAGCAATTATTAGGTTGTTGTATATGAAATGTCTCTATGGAATTTGAAGCTGTCAAACTGATACTGGTACTATCCATTAAATTTTGATTTATTACTAATTGAAATGCTCAAAGAATTCAAAATAATAACTAATATAAATATAAGTAAAACGAAATTTTAATATGAGAAAACTTTAAATAATATGATAACACTTAATAAAAAAATTTATGTACTTTTAGACATTAAAACATTATCATTATAACAGTTTTATATTCATTTGTAAAATTTGAATTTTTATATGCAATAAATAAATTAAAAGATAAATTATTATTTGATCCTTTCTTTATTTTATAAATATTGAATTAAAAAAACTGCAATTAAAAACACAAAAAAAGAAACGAAAGGCAATTTTTATTGCCTTTATTATTTTATTAATTTATTAAAGAATATTATTTATTATCAAAGAATATTTATTAAAGAATATTTATTTATTATTTTATTAAAGAGTAAATAGGGAATTATATTTTTAAAACGAATTATTAATGTTTAAGATTATTATAGTTGTGTATATGTAATAATAATTTAGAAATTAATTGTTGTATAAAAATAATATCTATAAATTTATTAATAATAAATTAAATGTAATTAAATGTTTAAAAGATTCTAATTATATTTAAATCTTATCTACTTTTCTTGAAAAGTTTAAAAGTATAATATAAAATATATTTAATTATATATAATATATATTTAAAAGTATAATATTTGTACAATATCATCGATATATAACAGAATTGAAATTCTGTTATATATGAATGAAATTCTAAATATATATTTATTTTTATTTATATTTTTTTATTACTTTTTATATTTATTTACTTATTATTTTTGTATTCATTTTTTTCTTTCTCTTTTTTTTTTTTTAAATATATTCTATTTCAATTTTTTAATGAATTTTTCAATCCTGATTAATTATACTAAAGAAATAATTGTATACTAAAGAATAATTGTAATAAATATACAATGAATATTAGCCAGATTTAAAAATGTTAGCAAGATAAAAAAAATTAAACTTAAAATATCATAAATAAAATATATGAGCTTAAACTCGAAAAAAGTATAATAAAAATTACAACATAACATATAATAAAATTACAACATTTAAAAAAAGTTAAAATCATTTAACATTTATTCATATCAAGGTTGACGATTTTATATCAGAAAATAAATCGAGAAAAAATACCATAAACAATAATATTTCAAGAAATATTACTGTTTGAAATATTATTGAAATATTATGAATTTATGAAACTATTTCACGATAAACAAGAAGATAAATGACGTTTCGAATGAGAGCAAGTTAGTTGGTTCAAATAGAAAAAATAAGAAATAGATGGAAAAATGGATTTTTTTCACATGAAAATATATAGAAACTTAAATAAATAATGATAGCTATCAAAGTTGTTTCATCAGTTGTTGAATCATTTTCAAAAATGTTATTTGTGATAAAAAATTAATCTTAGATAATAATTTTCAAAATGATAGTTCAGTTCTAATGAACTATATGTATTTTGATTTTTTTATTTTCGTTAGATATTTTGATTTTCAAGATTATTTTAAACTGATAATTATTTATAGTATTTCATTGTATGTGGTATAAATAAATAAGCAGAAACCGATTCCTAAAGAAATAAATAAAAAAAAAAATAAAATTTTTTCATTTAATGTTTCATTTTTGAATAAATCAAAAAAAAAATTAACAAATAAAATAATTTCTAATTTAGATATAAATTATCGATAGGAGATAATTTTTTTATATGTGAAAATAGACAAAAAATATATAATAAATTTTTTTCATTTAAAAATTAGTTTTCAAAAAAATTAAATTTAAAAATTTATCGATTATACAATTATATGATTCCTTAGCTGTAAATATTCAATTACGATTTTTTTAAAAATAAAGACTAAACAATGAAATTCCAAAAAATATTTACAAATAATCTATAAGATATTGATGATTCGAAAAAAGAATTGTTTTGTTTGTTGTTAGACATTAATGTTAGACATTAATGTCAACATTTTTATTTTAAAATGAATAATGAATAATAAATTTAATTTAAAATTTAATTTAAATTTATGTAATCTATATCTAATTCACTATTCTATATCTTATTCTGTTTTTATTAAATAACAGAATACGTTTTGTATTTTAGTAATATATTTTATGAAGAAATTTTATTTTTATAATTTATTCTAGTAAAAGAAAAAGAATAAAATATTATCAAAAAAATAATTTTAAACAAATTATAGAACAACTTAATTATAGAACAATTAATTATAGAATAATTTTAAACAAATAACAGTTATATAATAAATTAATATTTATAAATATATAACAAAATAAGTTGAATTATACAAAGAATAAATAAATAATAATTTGATTTATCTTTTCTTAGATGTTTTTTATTATTAGATTTTAAACAAGTATATACTTCATATAACTTAATTTGATTAATAGTATCGCTATCCATTGATCTATAAATAAACCTCCTTTGATAGATTGCTACTCTCTTCTTCAAATAAATTGCTTCTTGCATAAAATGTTTCGCAAGTATGGGTATAACTTAAAGAAATCGATAAAGTTTTTAAAAAGATACAACAAACTCGATAAACTTCTCTACAAACTGTACTTCATATTTATGTATTCAGTTTTTTTTAATTTATGACTCAATTATTGTTACATGATTTTCCAAATAATATATATATATACATAATAAGATGATTGATATAAAATTTCAATATGTTTCCTTCATATTAATATTAAAAAAGATATATTTTTGAATTAATTTCATTAAATATTTATCTTGTAAATTATGTGAAATAATGTAATATAATATAATACATATTCTATTTAAGAAATTTAGGCTTTTCATTTCTTTTTTCTTTTTTTGAAGTGAAAAACAAATATTTATGCAAAATTTGGATATATAAAAATTCAGAAAATGCACATGATATGTAAAAAAATTTAAAATATTCAAAATATAATACACATTATTGTCTATATTTGTTTAAAAAAATATAATAAATTTGTATTTAAGCTCCATTTCTTTAATCATGTAAAAAATTATTCATAACAATTCATTAATAATCTATTTATAATAATTGATGAAAACGCATATATAGTGCGTTATATGAAATAAGATATATAAATAAATTATATATGTATTTAAAATGTTTAGAGATAAATAAAAATATTATTGAAATCAAATGATATTGAATAATGAATAATTTAAATATAATTTTATATATTATTATGTATTAGTACATCTTAAAAGTACAATTTTACTTTTCTTTAAATAAAATTTTATAATTTTTATTATTTGGTCTAGTTTTTTAATTTCTATAAAAAAATATCGGAATACTCCTTCATTAAATCTAATCATTCAAAAATTATAATTCAAAATTTTCTAAATTTTTTATTCACATTATACTATAATAATAATAGTATAATATACATATTATAATATTAAATTAATTAAAATTTTTTTTATTTATATTATTAATAATGAATTAATTTTCTTACTTGGGTATAAGTATCACTATCAGTAATCGAATGAGATCTCGAAATCCTCGAAGAACCATCGTCACTGCCTATTCCTGCTTCTTTCGCAGCAAGTCTAGCCATTTCTCTTTGTTCTCGTTCTCTTCTTTCATTTCTCTGCAAAAATAAATCAATGTTATGTAATTTGTTATATCTGATTAAACGAATTATGTATTATGAATTATGTATAAAATCTTGTTCATATTAAACATCATTTACAATCATATTACTATTAACAATCTATTACTATTAATTTTTTGACTAATATATTACTATATTAACTATAAAATTGCATTATGAATATTAGATGCTTCTATACACTTTTTTTTCAATAAATTTTACATTGAACTTTACATTAAATCAATTAAATATTATTTGTTTTTTAAATGTAAAATGTAAAATTTAAAATGTAAAATATTGAAAAAGAATGTTTAATTATAATAAGAATAAATGTATATTTTATTATTTTATTATTTTGTTATTGATTATTAGTCAATAATCAAAAGTCAAAACATAATATTTATACGATTTTATTGAAAATTATTATATTTATATAAAATTTCAATATAAATTAATTATAGTTTATTAAGAATCAAAAGAAATTGTAACTTTACATTTCAAATTAAAATAGATAATAATTAAAATTTAATTATTTGATTTTTGAAAAAAAAATAAAATAAAAAAAATAAAAATTTTTATAAAAATTATACTTTATACAAATTAAGTTTTATATTAATTAATTTATGAAATTATATTTTATTTTCAAAATATATAAAAGTATTATTGTTTTTGCAACTAATTTAATATTTTTTCATAACATTTTTATTCAATAATATTCAATAAATTAGAGAAATAATAGTAATAGTTTTAATAAAAAATTATATTATATAGAAATAATAAATTAATTAATAATTAATTAATATATAAATTAAAAAGTGAAAGATAAAAACTTTTTTTTTCAAATGGAACAAATTTTTTTTCTATCTATTTTATTTTGCAATATAAAAAATTTTATATAACAATTCAAGTTATATTTTGAAGCAACAATTTCAAGTGCAAGCCATATCCTAAGGGAATGCATGTTCCGGTGTTCAGTATGTCATTCGATTCTTGATGGAACTATTTGTACTGTATTTGTAAAATGTTAAAATATCTTCCCTTAAGATTTATATCTTTTAGTTTCAAAATATATCAAGATTATTAAAATTGGAGAAACGTAAAATTGGAGAAAATTGGAGAAACATTCTCCAATTATTTCAATTCTTGAAATAATTCCAATCATTCATATCAATCACGTTATATATGATCGAATGACTAGTAACTATTATTGATTTTTGAATTTTTTGGTTTTAGATAAAAATAATTTAACAATTGAAAGTTATTTTTTATTTTTATTTTTATTCATTCATTAAAGAATAATAAGAGAAATTATAGAACATTCTCTTTGAAAAACAGAAAAAAATAAAAAAAATAATAAATGATTTTAATTTAACTCATTGTCAGATGAAGCTAAAACTTAATTTAAATTCTAAAGAGTTGTACCAAATATGATGTATGAATACCAAAAATGAAAAAATATAGCTTAACTGAAGATTTCTGAAATAATAAGCAATTTTTTTCTTTTGGAAAAATTTTGATTTTGGCTTTATTAACGAGTTATTAAAAAATATTACAAAAAAATATTAACTTATGCCCTTATAGAATGCTTAGAATTGTCAATGATTGATAATAACGTTAAATATAATTTATTTCATCAAACTTAAATAAATAAGTTTAAGTAAAAAAAAAAAAAATTAATCCTACATATATCGAAACAAATGCGTTAAATATTTATTATATTATATCGAATTATATTTCACAATCAATGAATATTAGCAAATATTATATTTTTTTATATTTTTATATTTAAAACATAAAAATATTTCTAATAATTAAATTACTAATAATAAAAATTCTTCCGCATTAATAGAAAAATTAAATAAAATATCCTTAAAAAATATAATTATTTCATAAGCAAATAATTTTTTCGATAATGAATTAATAATAATATTGTATTGTTTATATTATTAATTTTATTTTATATTATAAAATAAACATTATTTTATTATTACATTTTTAATTTATATTCTTAAAATTTTATTATTTTATTTTATTATTAATTGCTATTAATAATAAATGCTATAATAAATAATTTTTATTGTTTATATTATTTTATCATTATTTAAATTTCTTAATTAATTATTAAATTTAAATTTAAATTTTATTAAATATATACATAATATATAAATATATACAATATATTCTACTATTAATATTAGCGCTTTATCCATGAAGATTTTGATACTTACTCTCTTGCAGAAATGAGAGAGATAGGTCAAAATATATTACACATATATTTTACAACTATATTGAAAATCAGGATTCATTAATTAAATATATATGTATAATATATGTATGATAAAAATTATTGAAAACTTTGACAATAATGTCATTAAAATTATTATCATTAAATTCGGTGACGTATATTTCTTTTTAGATTAATATAATATATAATAGTATAGAATATAATATAATATATAATAATATATAATAATAATATAGAATGAAAAATCAGAATTGCATGATTTTTTTTAATTTCTAAATATATAAAAAATATAAATTAATAAAAAAAATATAAATACATAAAAGATTTTTAAATTAATTTTCGGAGGATTTCGAAATTTTGAATTGTTTTTTTCATATTTTTTAAATATCTTTATTATAATGTTTTTTTCCTTAGCTATATTAGCCATATTAGCCATATTATAAATTTATTGATATTTTAAATTTATATATTTTGAATATACAATATTTATAATAAATGAGTAAATTATAAATATGTGTGAAATGATAATTTTTTTCGATTTATTTCTAAACTAAATTTTAATTTAAAATTATTTTAATAAGAAGCATTATTTGATAAAAATCAAAATTATGAATAGTAAATAACTGAAAAAAGAATTTATAAAAACAATGATAAAAAAAAAATGATTTTTAAATAATTTGTAGCATTTCAAACAATTTGCCGATCAAATTTTATTTTCAATATTTTATGTATCATTATAGAAAGCAACTTTTGAAAATCAAATCAAGTTTTCGTTATTAAAAGTCATAAAAAGCTCATCTTATCGTAATTATTAAATTCAGAAAGATACACAAAATATATTTATTATTAATTATCTAATGAATTAATATTAAGTCAATGATTATTCGTTTCCTCTAAAAATAATTTGTATTATCCAATACAGAATAGAATAAAAATATTTAAAATTAGCAACCGAAATTGTCGACAAAATGCAGAATGAAATAATCATACCTCCGAAGAGAATCCCTCGACAAGAATGGCGACCAGCAGATTGAATAGAACATAATTTCCAAAGGTCATCAATGCGACGAAATAAAGAGCTGCCCAGTGAGACGTCTTCTGCATTCCATTGAACAACACGACATTCCAATCTTCCTGTGTCAAGATCTATACGAAACGGAAAAAGAAAAATTCTTCATGAAAAAAAATATAAATATCATTCGTTACAATTCAAACGATAGGTAAAAAATATTCTAAATTTACGTCAAACAAAAATGAAACTAGAAATGTCTCTATCCAATTTGCTAATTGTTAATCAATCGTTTGTGTCGTTTACTTGAAAGAACTAGCTTTAAGTCATTTGATCCGCTAGTTCTACATACCGAAAGTTGAGAAAATAGAAAAAAAAAAAAGAAAAGAGATGAAAAGAAATATATTATATAATAATACCGATTAATTATTTAGCTTCGATATTCTCATTTCTATAGATTATAAATTATATTTGCACCCACTTAATCGCGAATTTCTCTCTATTTTCAACGCGTTATAAAGATTTCATTTTAGAAGTGGTTTATTCCACTATGTTGGATTTATTTAGATCTTTCTCAATCGCGATATAGTATAGTATAGTATAGTACAATCATATGTAGGCAACAAGCATAACAATATGATGCAATTATTCATTAAAAAAAAGAGCAAGATAACAGTATTGGCGACAGCATAAACGTAAATCCGTGTAATCAAATAACTTCCATATCGGCCGTTAACGATAACGAACCATATTAATCACCACGACAAACAAATTATTTTACTTCCGTTTATCCTCTATTCAATCACGAAAATTAGTGCAAGGCTCGGATCTAAAGAATAGAGAAAGATAGAAAGAAAAAAAAAAGAGAAAAAAAATTAATAAAAAAGAAAAAAAACATGACGGAAAGAGAGAAACTCGTCGATACATTACTAATCTGGTACGACGCTTTTATTGATTTTCGAAGTACAGACTTTCGCGTACTACGGTGGCTGGATCAAAAGTAATTCATACAAATAAATTCAAACTTACGTAATTTTTGTTATTTAATTAATCGATTGTTAAATTGATTGGGACAAAAATGATCCAGCCGTTAAATTGCTAAAATCAAATCGTATGGAAAAGAAAAAAAAGAATGAGAGAAAAAGAGAGAAAGAGAGATAGAGGGAGGAAGAAAAAGAGAGAGAGAGAGAGAGAGAGAGGGATGGAGGGAGGGAGGGAGAAAAGAAAAAAAGAAAGAAAAGTGAGAAAGAAGAAGAAATAGAACAAGAAGATAAAAATTTAAAATACGTCAATATATGCATATATTTCGTATGATATCGTATGATATAGAAAATGAATTGGAACGCGATGGAGCAAAAAAACGAAAGAAAACTATACACAATATTATGTAATACGTATGTATATAGATATGGATAAATATAGATTGTAGATACAGAATTACAGATACAGATATGGATACAGATAATAAATAATAGGCAAACCAATAGACAGAGATAGACATAGATATAGATAAATTATAGATATAGATATAGACATAGATATAGAAATAGATATAGATAGATATAGATGGATATACAGTCACCCATGAAATTTTTCTTACATTTTATAAAAACGTAATTTTTGTTCAAATAAATTTCATTTCAAAGTTTATTTATCTTATCAAGAAAATCTATCTTATCAAGAGCTAGATTACTACTATTATTATGAATTAACTAAAAAAATATTACTATTATTATGAATTAACTAAAAAAAGATACATATTATTGATACATATTAATATTCATAAATTAATATTAAATGAGATATTATGTGTTTTTAAATATATAACAAAATTTGTATATATGACTATTATATTTTAATATAAATTACTTAAAAAGCAAATTGATCGATTCCATTTTAACATTTTGGTAATAAAAACTTAATTTTGACAACAAAATATATATCCAAATAATAAGTCTCATGGAGTTGATCAATTTAGTATATTTTACATTTACTTGAATTTATTATTCAAAATATCTAATTAAATATTTATTAATTAATTAAATATTTAATTACATCAAATGATTCTTTTATAAAATATGTATTTTCATGGGTAACTATAGATAACTATAAATAAATATACGTATAGATATAGATATAGATATAGATATAGATATAGACATAGATATAGATATAGATATAGATATAGATATAGATATAGATATAGATATAGATATAGATACAGATACAGATATAGATTAGATATAAAATTATCATATGCTTATAAATACTTAGCATATACAGTAGTAGTGTATATTTTGGTGTAAGAGAGAGGGGAACAGTGGTACCTGAAAGACCGTGACAAGTGCCCAGACGATGTCGTTGAAATGTTTGCGATCACAGCGACACAATGGGTGCCGCGAGACCACCTCGGCACAGGTGCAGGGCCGACTCCGGTCCGCCCACATGCAAAACTTACCCCCGAACAGGTACATCCCTAGGATGCTGCAACCGAGACAATCCGCTGGCCTAAAGTATCACCGCGATGAACGATGAACGAAGAGGAAATGAGGAATTAGGATATATCGAAGCTGCTTACCGTGAAACGTCTCCATTCTATCTCTTATTCATTTCATTTTAATTTTTCTTTTCTTTTTTTTTTTTATTTTTAACATACATATACAATATATAGAGTGATTCTCCAGCAATCTAATTTAAATTACTATAAAATAAAAAAAAGTATTTTTTTATATGAAAGTACAAACAAAAGTAGTAATTTAATTTTACATAATTGTAACTTAAATTTCTTAATTGTAAAATTTGATCTTGTTAAAAAATTTTTTGGAAAAAATTGTAATTGTAAAAATTAAAGATAAAATATTGTTATATACATATTGTATTATATACATATAACATATTTATATGTATTATAATATACATAATACATATTGTTATATACATATAACATATTTATATGTATTATAATACATATACATAATAAATCAATAAGTGCAAATAATAAACATTAACTATATTTGTTTTTTAATTACTAGTTTCTAAACCTATGTATGTATCCCAATAGCTTTTTAATTAGTTTAAATTAATTACTTTTAATTACTTATCTAAAATTAGAAAAAATAGTAAGTGTTATTATAATAAAATTAAAAAAAACTATCTAAAAATTAAAAAAAACATTTAGAATATATAGATTAAAAATATTATTTTCACTTATTGATAAATATCTACTTATATCAATTATAACCTAATAATATTTTGTATTAAAAATCGTTTAAAAAATATCTCTTACAGAATTTATTGTTTACATTTTTTAATAATATTTCAAATTTTACACATTAAAATTAAAAAAATTCAATGTAAGCAAAAAAATAATCATAAATAACTATTCTGTATTCTATTTCATCATTCATACTTTTGTTTAAAATACGTTTTCATATAATAAGCAGTTTACAAGCAATTTAGCTGGCAATGTTAATAAGAATCACCCTATAGATAAAACTGATCCATGAGATCATATAAATACGAATTTATTGAATTTGTATAGCATCGATTTTCTTTTCTGACGCAGGTTGTAGAAAACGGTCGGCGATTCGAATATAAAGCTATAGTAAAAATATGTATCCGGGTTACGTAATCCCTTAAGCGGTGCTTTGGATGTCGGTTCGATATGGCCGTGAATATTTTAAGCGGTAATTTCCAATTGGAATTGCGCCCGCCGTTTCCCGGTGCGTTAGTTAGCGTATTGTTCATCACCACGAAAATTATCTTCTGAGCTGAATAGAGATTGAAATTGAAATCGTATTTAAGAAAACTCTCGATTATGATTCGATGGACAGGTTTATCGAAATTCCAAGAATAAATATTTGCTTGGATTATTTATGATTGAAATTTAAATTGTTTTTACGTAAAATGAATAATATAGCATGAAAAGTATCTGTTAATGTTGACTTTGGTGCAGACTGGTTCGAACAAGTATCGTATAGTTCAAACAGAATTATATATACAGGATGTTTCAAATAAAGCATTACGATATAAAAAATTGTTTCCGCAAATTTCTGGGATAATTATGTATTTTTTATTTCTTAATTGAAATATATTTAATTCTTTCATATAATATGAGTTTAACTTTATGAATATATTTTTCTTATAAGATTTTTGAGAAATTTCTTTTTATTTCAATATATTAATTCTATTTTATCTTTTTATTATTAATTTTATTTTATTCTATTTATTATATATGACATTTATCGTGATGAATAAGAAGATATAAGTTATGAATTGGTAATATCACCTAAAAATGGACAAAAAAATGCAATAGAATTTTCTCTCGTTATAACATATTTTGACATGTTTCCTGTCACTAAAAAATTGCATATCCTATACATTTGCATATCCTATATGTTTTAGAATTTTAATCAATAATAAGTAATTGTAATTTTTTGGAGGAATTAAATATGATGAAACTTTAATTTTACAATATTTGAAGGTTAAAAATAAATGGTAAATTCTTATATAATATCAATTTATAGTTTATATAGTTGAATTTTTTCTTCTTTTTAGTTGATGGATTATATATAGTTACTTTATAACAATGTAATTGTGAATAAATTATTAAAATAAATATAGTTAATAAATATAGTTATCAAAATAAATAAATAATACAATATTATTCTAATAAAATAAAATTTCATTTAAGTCATATATCATCAATCGATATTTCAAAAATTCCATAAAATAGTTTATTCTACCTCATAAATAATATTATTTCTCCATTAATAAAAATATGAATTAATAATTTTTAGCATTAGATTTAAATATTAAATTTATCATATTTAATAATTAATTAAATATCTTTTTTTTTTCTTTAAGATTGATTTATTACATTTTAGAATATTTTAATATAAAATGCAGATTTGAACATCTAAATATCACTTTTCTTTTTAGTAATATAAGAAACATTTAAAATAAAATTTAAATGATTTTAAAGATACAATTTATTGTCTTCGAATTTTTCAAGAATATTGTTATTTATTTTTTTTGTGCAAAATTCAATATTTTATATAAAAAACTAATAGATATATAATTTTTTCTACTTTATTTTTCTGCGTTTATCATATTTTACATAAAAATACATAAAAAT